CTGGTCTGGCTTGAGACAGGATTTGAGATTTAGGATTGGCAAAGCCAGGAATGCACGTGGTTGTGCTGTTAGATCCAGACCAGGAGACAGGTCAGACCTATGGCACAAGGATGGGCTTGGAGTCAGGTTGTCTGACTGTAACACTCCCTGGCATTGAGCTTTAAGAACTTTCTGGTGTTCTCTGAACCATTTCTGTTGTGTGTGTCAGAAGTTAATATCATCTCCCCTGGCTTGTATAGACCTCCTGAACTCTCTGTGAAGATTCATGGTGTCTGGGCAGAGATTCCAGTTCTTGGGAGAAAGGTGCTCTCTAGATGCCAGGTGTTACTAAATGTTATTACAATGATCACTTACTGCTACTCATTCCCTTTGACATTTGTGCCTTGGTTCCTGGACCTCTCTAGTCAAAATTCAAACCTATTTTATCCCCAGCTCTTTCCCCTTGCATATTGAAAGTTAAGAAAATATTGGCTGAGTTCCATATTCCCATTCCGGATGTGGATTTTAGTGAATGAGCCAAATTAAGAAGCCATGACCTATTGTGTGAGATTTGATACCTTCTCCTCTTCTCAGTGTACATACGGCCTGGGCAAGACCTCCCAATTTAATCACTCCAGCTGCTGTTTCCATGGTCACAGCTCCCCAATCAGCAGCACCCTTTCACTTTGTTTTCCAAACTCCAAACCCATTTCGCAAGTGCCTTTTGCACACCTCCACCTGGATGTCTGAACAGTATCTCACAGCCAGCATGTTCAAAGCTCAACTCATCTTACTCCCAGGTCTGAACACCTCTCTCAATTTTTTGTCCAGATGACCGGTATCTGTCATCTTTTACTTCTCCTCAATTCTAATTTCCTTACCACCCACATTTAGGCATCTAGTTCTATCTGTTCCAAATCATAAATGTCTCACATCTATTTCTTCCCCTCTATGTCTACAAACACTGCCCTAGTTCTGGCCCTAAGTCATTGCTTACCTCCTCCCTGGTCTTTCCATATACATTTCTCTCCTCCACACATGGCCACCACAGCTGTCTTTTGACATGACATATCTGATGATATCACACACTCCAACTCTAAGATCTTCAGAACTGGTCCCAGTCTATCATGCTAACATCATGTGTCCCATCATGTGCTAACATCATGTTCTTACCACCCTCTTCCACACATACCCTGTGTTTCACATTCTTCACCTTCCCCTAACATGCAATGGTCCTCATTTCTTCATCTCTTTGCATGTTCTGTTCCCCTTTGTCTGGAATGCCTTTCCTCCTCTTTGCCACCCATCACATTCACATACACCTATTAGGTTCCATCTCCTCTGCTTTCCCAAATCCCTCCAGGTGGAGTAACATCCTTCTCGATGTTACTCCCAAGGGGACACTATAGTTCTGGAGCCCTTTGTAAATGCTCTCTTATATTAGTCAGGGTTCTCCCAATAAACAGAAAAAGTAGGATGGAGAATATATATATATAATCATAAAAGGCCTGTGAACAAGCAGCGGCTCTTGCAGTGGGTGGGGCAGGGTGCCAGCAGTGTCTGCTGAGCATGCAAGACCACCTCTTCCTTCCCTCACTCCCTCCCTCGGCGCCCTGCCACCGCTGGCCGCCCACCATGTTCCACGCCACCTCCTGGTGGTCAGCACACATCATAGCAAGCAATCAAACTCTGGTCTCCTGGCTGAACTCCCGAGGGGACACTTTGCATATTTGCCTTTTATATATATGTATATGTATATGTATATGTATATGTATATGTATATGTATGAACTGACTCGTGTTATATGGAGTCTGAGTAGTCCTACAATCTGCTGTCTGGATGCTGGAGACTCAGGAAAGCCAGTGGTGCAATTCAGTCCAAGTCTGAAAGCCTGAGTACCAGGAGCACCGAGGACAAAACAAGTTCAATGTCCCAGCTGAAGCAATCATGTAGCAAGAGATCAACTCTTCCTTCTTCCAATTTTTTGTTCTATTCAGGCTTTAAATAGATTGGATGATGCCCACCCACATTTGAGAGAGCAAATTGCTTTATTGCTAAAACCAATTTAAGGCTAATTTCATTAGGAAACACCCTTACAGAGACACCCTGACATAGGGTTTAGCCAAATATCTGGGCACTCAGTGATCCAGTCAAGTTGACGCAAAAGATTAACCATCACACCTCTCAAAACAGTTCTTAATAATAGCAGACATATAGCACATGCTTTGTCATGGGCACTTTTCTGAGTCATTATACACTCATCTAAACTTTGCAACAACTCAAAGAGTAATTATTATCTTTATCTTCATTTCATGGATCAAGAGGCTGAGATTAGAATTAACTCGCTTGTTCATGGTCACCCAGCTAGGAAATAAAATTGCCCAACCAAATTGTGAGAGTCAGCACCAGAGTCCATGCATTTGACCACTCCTTTTTTTTTTTTTTTTTTTTTGTCTCTAATTGTGAGATGTATGTATGGGTCTAAACTGTAAGTTTCTTGGGCCTCCCAACTCTAAAACTTGGATAATTATTATTAATGCCTATTTCTCAGGCTTTGGGAGAACATTAACAAAGCTTAGAAAATAAATATAGATAAAGATGGTGAAACGCTAATCGAATATTAAGTTGTTATGATCAACCTCCAACTACTGCAGCAGTCTCCTTCCAACAGATCCTCCTTTTTGCCACCAGGTCAGTCTTCTAGAGCACAGATGAAATAATACAAATATGCACCTAAAATCCTTCAATGACTCTGTAATGTCTAAAGGACACTACCTAAAGCTCTTCAGCTAGAAATATAGACCTTTCATAACCTGACCCTGCTGTGTGTCCTATGCTATTTTTCCTACTGTTTTCTTGCAGGCAACTTACACTCAGCCATATAAAATCATTAGCATATTCTGAACACACTCATAACCCGGTTCTTCCCATGTCTTTACCCAGTCTGTTCCTTTAACCTGGAATTTCTTCCCTCTTTAACTACTCAATGAACATATATCTACTCATTCACTAAAACTCAACTCTATGATACCCCTTTTATGAAGCCCACCCTAACATCCACAGGCAGAATTAGGCCCATTTACTTCATGCCTCCATAGCCCCTGGGACACAATGTTTTGTCTATCACTCACTATAAAGGAAGTTCCACTAATTTAATTTAATTAAATGAATTTGTGTAACCAGGGGTCAGCTGGACCTACCTCCTTCATGGAAACATTGGTTTCTTAGGGCTGCCATAACAAAGTATTACAAATGGGGTGATTTAAAACGACAGACAATTTATTGTCTTACAGTTCTGGAGGCTACATGTCTGAAATCAAGGTGCCATGCTCTGACAGTTCTATGGAAAGATCCTCTGAGGTACTAGGTGTTAGGACTTCAACATATCTTTGCTGGGGGCATAATTCACCCCATAACAATGGGAAATCGTACTCATCCAGAACCTTTAATTTTGGAGCCTCAGGCTGTCAAAAGTCTTCCACAGAATTTCTATTATTCTCATGGCTTACTTCATCCTTTTCCAGTACCCTATCCTGTGCTCAGACACACTATTTCAGTTCCAACACATGACTTCATAACTTGTATGTCTTCAATATTTTTGATAATTAATCCAATAAGATTAGGAATTCCAAGCACTTAGAGCAATTTCATTTCTCATGAGCACCTGGGTACATCAAGCATCTGCCATTTTTCTCACTCCACCTTTCTGCATAAGCTTGGTAAATTTCCAATCCAGGAGACTCCCAAGAGGCCTTCTTTTCATTTCCTCTAGCTCCCTGGGAGACACTGTCCAGTTCTCACCTCCCACCTTTACTTGGACTGCTTCCCTCACTAAGATTACCCCTGTTCAAAGCAGCCTGCCCTCCTCAGGCGCCTTTCTCCTGCCCTAGTTTCTAGCAAAGAAAAGTTGCTCCACTTGATGCAGTTTTATTGATCACCTAGAGGCAGGGTGCACAAAATTCATGCACTGGGTATGGCGGGGAGGTTCCTCAGCCTGGCCTGTACCCTCTAGCAGTCTGGGACCCCTCGGTCCTTACTGCCCGCCTGCTCACTGCTCCTTACTGCTCAGCTTCCTGCTCCTTAGTGCTGCAGGCAGGAGAGGCTCCCGCCACCACCGGTGCACTACCCAGCCATGAGCCTGGCTTCTGGCTGAGCGGCGCTCCCCCTGTGGGAGCACACTGACCACCAGGAGACAGCTCCTGTGTCGAGCATCTGCCCCCTGGTGGTCAGTGGGCATCATAGTGACCGGTCTGTCTGGTCATTCCACTGTAACAGTTGCTTAGGCTTTTATCATATAGATTATGTGCTAGCATTAGGCTAGATGCTGATGTTACACAGAAAGCAAGATAGATATGTCTCCTTTATATGGGACTGGTGGGGAAGATGGACATTAAGTGTGTGGTGGCAGGTATGATGACTATTATGCCAGAGGGCATATATAACAATAATGACAAGTAATGCAACTTTATAATGAGGATATACTATGTGCCAGGCACTGTTCGAGACCATGAGAAATCACTATTGCCATGGAGCTTACGTTGTAATGGGAGACACATACCAATAAAGATGCCCAATAGTGGTGGTATGAAGAAAAGTCAATCAGGAAAGGAGGATAAAGCAGTCTTGGGATTGTATTGGTTAGGATTAGTTTCAATCATAAAAACAGGCTTAATGTAAGGTTCATTTGTTTATCTAAAATGAAGAAATCCAGAGGTAGGCAGTCCAAGGCTTTTAAAGTAGTTTCCAGCTTCCCTCTATCTTTTTCTCTGCCATTCTTAATGGCTTACATTTTCAAGATTGTTCAAAATGGCTGCAAGAGCACCAGCCAACATATCTGGGATCCAAAAATAAAGAGAAAAAGGGAAGTGAGGGAAAATAGGGGCACCTTTTAAAACTAAGTCAGCTAGAATTCTGACAAAACTTCTTCCTCTTACATCTTTTTAAAAATATATATTTTATTGCTTGTTTTTTTACAGAGAGGAAGGGAGAGGGATAGAGAGTTAGAAATATCGATCAGCTGCCTCCTGCACACCCCCCACTGGGGACATGCCTGCAACCAATGTACGTGCCTACCGGAATCGAACCTGGGACCCTTGAGTCTGCAGGCTGACGCTCTATCCACTGAGCCAAACCAGTTAGGGCTCCTCTTACATCTTAATAGCCACTCCTAAATGTAAGGGAGACTGGGAAATGCAGTTTAGCAGCTATGTACAATGCTATTGACTATAACCAGAGTTTATTCGTAGGATGAAGAAAAAATTGGTATTGAATAGACAACTCATCATCTCTACCAGGACCCATGGAAGGCTTTCCAGAAAAGGGGAGTCTTATGCTAACAATTGAGACATGAGTTGTATTGGCCAGGCCAAGAGGAGGGCGAGGAAAGAGCACAGCTGCAGGTAAAGCAGCAGCAGCTCTGATGCTCCCAGAGGGCTGGGAGCAGGCTTCTTTGTTCTGCAGTGCCGAGCTCAGAGCCTAGCACAGTGCTCATCTTAAGAAATATTTGTTGACTAAAAGTTGGCCTCTAAGTGGGTGCTTATGCCACCCAATGTGTAATCTCTACACCAAAGGAATGCCCTCCGCCACCCCCCCCCCCCGGCACCCCCACCAAGAGATTCTCTCAGCTATTTCCATTCTGCTTACGGCAAAGTAAATGAATCTTGGTGAAAATCACCTCGTGCCCAGATACAGACAGAGTTGTGCACACAGGTACCCAGAAATCAAGATATGAAGCACGTACTGCAATAAAACCTGACCACAACTTCCTAATGAATCAGGAACACTGTTTCACAGACCAATGCATCTCACTTATTAAATATCCTTTGTTGTTTATAGCTGTAGAAGCTGCTGAGTCGGAATTAAGGTGAGGAAATGAGAAGAAACCTGTCCAGCTCTTCCTGTTGGTGGAATTCCAATGGAGCCTGGTTCTCAGGTTTGGTGATTATTGAGTCAAGTCTGGGAACTCTGATGCTGAGCCAGTCTCCTCTCTGCCGACAGACCTGGAAAGCTTCAATGGGGTGGCACAGAGGAAGGACCAAATGAATATGTGCCTCCAAGGCTGGCACATGCTAGATGCTCAATAAATACCAGCTCCCTGAATGAATGGCATGGGCATTTGAGCAAGGGTTTATGGAAGTATGACATTTGAACTAAGCCATGAAGAAGGGACAGACATCCTTCAAGATGAAAGGAACGGTATGTGCAAAGGGACAGAGGTGTGAACAGAAAAGAAAACTCAAGTGGTTCAATGATGCTAGAGAGGGTGGAGATGGGAGATGAGGCTATTAAGATGTATGTGCAGGATGTGCTAAGATGTTTGAACTTTCTCCAGTGGGAAATGGGAACTTTTGGTGTATGCTGAGCTGAGAGGGACATGATCAGAGTCACAGGGTCATTCACCTCTCTTCCCAGTTACTGCTCCAATGCAAGCCTCCCCTGTTGTCACAATACTGCTTCTATTGATTAACCTCTCTCTGTCCCTTCACTCCCAGACTGTTTCCTCTCTCCATACCAATTCCTGAAATCATCATGGGAGGCTTCAACATCCGTGTAGATGTGTCTCCTAACATCCTTGGTCCTCCAGCTTTGATGACCTTGATCTTCCCCCCATTCTCTTTGACCATCCACTCCCAGAACCACATCATGGACTTTCTCCACCTTGAGAAGCTCAAAGCCCAGGTGTTCCCTCCATCATCCATTGTTTGAGATAGTATGAAATTGCTAACACCATAGGTGTCCCAGGAATATATAAATAAGTGGAAATAAGATAAGAAAATAATTAACTAGATTTACATATTGCAATGCAGAGTGCTCACACAAACATACTGTCATGTGAAAAAAAGAAATAAATACAATGGGCTTTCTAGCCCAGTGAAAGTCATGTATATTAAGCAGAAGCACATAGACAGTTTTATTCTACTTTTCAAGGATGCATGTAATACCTGAGCAAATGGATTAGGCCAGCACACTGCTCAACTCCAGGGTTCCCATTCAAAGTTTCCTCTGGAGCATGGTTCCAGAATACAACACGAATAGTGCCCCCTGGAGTGGGCGGCATGGCAGCCCTGGATATATAAAACGACTTGGAAGCTCATGGATTAAACACATTGGGATAGGTGCCTATGGCAGGAGTAAGGAGGGAACTAGGAGTGGCAATGGGAGAGGAAGGGTAACATGAAGTAAAATAAGATAGAAAAGAGCCCTCCCGTGAATGGAGGAAGGCAGTGTCATGTGAATGAAGAAATAGAATCCACTCCTTCGGTGGTCTTAAGGTCGGGAGAAGAGTGGACTTGGGAGAGGGGCCTTGAGCTGGATAACCAGCAACTTACTAAATCCTGCTAAGAAATGTAAATTTTATCCTGAAAGCTGTAGGGAATCCTGGAGGTGTTTGAAAACAGGGAAAATTTTCATGGGAATGGATGAGAGAGGTGGAGGAGGGACAGTGTCCTTCAAAGTAATCCGGGTTTGGCCTCCACATGCGCAGTGGAGTCAGCGTGGCCAAGGACACCCTCAGTCAGGTGTGCATGCCCAACTCCACGGACACGGGAGCCCACACAAGGCCCAGCACTCCATCTCTTGACCCTTCCATGATCCTCATTTACCCAGAGGCTCAACTAGAAACAAGGCCTGGTTAGAAGCACTGCGGACAACTCCAGCACAGCTGTGGCTGTTGATACCACCTTCCAGCTGTGACTGTACCTGTGCCCTTGAGGCCTGCAGTTGAAACATTCATGCTGATGCACAGGATATTAATTTTTGTGAGAAATATTTTTCATTGGCAAAGGCTTCATCTCTTAGACAGATGCCCAGGTATTTACGTAAGAATTTCTCCTCCTTTTTTCCCTAATCCTCACCTGGAAGACAGTGACTACCTCTACGATTCAGAGAAAATCACTCCACCACACGAGTGGAAATACTTGAACAAGATTTGATGACCTCTGAGTCCATTCCAATGCCAACACTCTGGGGCCTGTGAGATCTTTTTTCCGAGTATGCCAAACGCTTCGTGGGTATAATGCGCTTGGTGTGATATAGCAAAATGGGCACAGGTTTTGGAATCAGACTTGGGTCAGAATCCTGGATCTGCTACTTACCAACAGGGTGATGTGGGTTTCTTTATCAGTAAAATCAGAGGTCAAAAGTTCTATCTCATGAGATGAATGCGAGACAATGCACATGAAAAAGCACCAGGATTTAGCATTTGGAAAGCACTCAACAAGACAGTTCCTCCCTATCCTCCTTCCTTTCCGTTTACGAAGACACCTTTCACAAACATTTCCAGAACAAAAACTTCACAAATTGTCGTGACCAAATTTTCCCTTTTCAAGAATTTAAGGATGAGCTCGGATGTAGTATCATAGCTATTTACTGTGTGTATTGATTTCATTTTGGCTTCTTTTTTGATATGGGTGGGAAGGGAGAAGCACAAAATCAAATATATTGTATGACATCACCTTCTAAGCATAACCTTTTCTGATAGACTCAAGATGCAAAAAGATAATATTTTCTTTTTATAAGTCTGGTTCTTTTATTTGTTAACCCCCTTAATCTTGCTGGTGTGGTATTTTGGCCCCTCCTGCTCAGAGAGATGGATGGCCAGCTCTGACATGAGCCGGGATTGCTATTACCAAGCAGTGCTCAGGGAGAGCAAGGAAATGGGAAGGAGAGAAGGTGCCTTGTCCTTTTAACATTCCTGTTAGGATGAGCTGCCCTTTCTGTTGTAAAGGTATTTTAAGGCTGTGGTTGCCAGCCCTGACTTCCTGGGACCACAAAGAATTCATTCATTTTGTTCAATATATTTTCTTACCAAAATATAATAGCTAATGAAAGCTAAGGGGTGGTGAAATAGGCATTGCCATGCACAGAGGATTGTAATTAGAACAAATCTTTTGACAACCAATTTGGCAATTAAGTGTCAAGTTTTTAAATATTTGTACTCTTTGGAAATTCTCTTTCTGGGAAGCTCTCTCATTGAAAAGGAGTCTAATTAGAGAAACAGATATGTGCACAAAGCAGCTTATCACAGTGTCATTTCATAATAATGAAAAATACCAGGAATGACCTAATAATATGCACCATGGTACATCCAACAGATAGATGGAGCCACTTACAAGGAATCTGTCAAAACCTGAGCATAAAAGCATATAAACAATCTCATTAACACTGAATATTGTTTTAAAAAATAAGCAAAATATGAAATATTCACAATTCTAAAGAACTGGAAGGAAGTATCTCAAATTTCGGTAGTGATAAGCTTTTGGTGACAAGATTCTGAGTGATTTTCCTTTCTTTTTACTTGTTACTTTCAGGTCTATCATGAGGACCATAGTATATAACTTTTCTAATTAGCAAATCCTCCTCCTCGTCTTTATCTTGTTTCATAAGGAAGTAAACAGAAATGACAGATGGAATCTTTTTGATTTGATCAGATGGCCAAGAATGGACTAATTAAAGATAAAAAAATATGATAAATTGTATTAATTACAAAAAAAGATGGGACTAGTTGGGAGGAGCCTGCTCCCCACTCTCCTCCCCAGAACTTTTGTAAGGTTAGAAGAGCAGGAGGGGTTACTTTTACCAGGGGCACTGAAATCCTGGTGCCAGTGCATTCAAAGCCTTCATTTCCATTCTTAATGCCATGATAATTATTAAAAAAAAAAAAAAAGGAATGAAGTTTTTAAAATGTTTAGCATTCATTAGCCACTTTCTAGGCAGAGGCACTGATTTGCTTTTTATATCTATATTTCACCTTTCTCAGGCTTGCAAAAGCTCTTAATAAAAGGAACTATTGTCTCCTTCCTCTCCCCGCACCTGTTGTCCTTTCTCCTAACCACACAGAGAGTGCCTTTTGCGGATATAATTGATTTGGATGGGGGCGGGGAAGGGCAGACTGAACTTCATTTTGGTATAAAACAAAGCCTGGTTGGTGCCTGAATTGTTGACTGGAGAGGCAAAAATTTTCAGGTGGCCAGGACAGAAGGTTCTGGAAAGAGGGCACCAGAAAATCCCACAGGCCTTCTCCCTGTGATGTGGCTTTATTTGCTTTACAAGCTTCGGGCATATCTGCTGACGTCAGCAGCCCATCAAAGTTTAAAATAATAACAGTGAACAGGAAAACAGCCCCTTTCTGCCAGGCAGTCCTGTTCTGCCAACTTCTGTGCTCGCTTTTGAGTTAATAAATGTCCAACTTCCCTACCACCCTGAGGGGGGAAAAAAAAAGCACAATAATTTTAAAACCACTAGGTCAGCCCATTGCCAGCATAGACCATTCAGACAAGTAGCATTTGTCACACTCCAATGAGGATTTTACCTTTCCCTCAAAAGAAAAGCTATCATTAGGCTTTGTGTTTATGGGACCAAATGATTGTCTAGGGACAGTGGGGTTTTTTTGGTCCCTTCCTCATTTTAATCATGCTCGAAGCCAAACACATAGATGTTTTCTGCATCAGACAAAACTAAAAAACCATAATTATGCCAGTTAATGTCTTTTGAAAACATCAATTAAGAAACCGGCCTTTTACTTAAAAATTTGAAAATATCCACACATGCTGTAATAGCACTGGGAGGTAGGGGGATGCTGACTCTCAAAAAGAGACACCCCAATGGCTTCAGGTCAGGTGAGCAGGCCCCCGCTGGCAACAAGCAGGCAGAGAATCTCTCCAAGGAGGAAACTTCTCTATAAAGCAAGACCTCTTAAGTTATCTTCACATGTAGTGTTGAAACTGGAGCCAGCCGCTCCTGAGTTAGGTTGATACCAGGCTTCTGCACCAGGCTGGCACCACACACACCCCATTGTTAACACCTCCTCAGGACAGATTAGATCCCACATTCCTCAGAAGTACTGCACTCCAGAGGGAACACTGCCAGCAGGCTCCTTCCACAGGGCAGCAGCTAGCTACAACTGATAAGTTTTCATTGAAATAACTGGAACAATTACACCGAGTCCCCACCAGGGCTCTGTCTCCAGCTATGGAGCAAGGGAGCGAGCGAGAGAGAGAGAGGTTGCACTTGCATCTCCTGGCGTGTGCAAAGGCATGAGCCAGACAAGAGTAATTCAAGTCGTTAGCTCACTTTTATATGCTTTTATCTATGACTACCTGCTGTTGTTAATCCATTTGTTCACCCAAGATGTACTATTAGCTTGATTGTATTTTATCTTTTTCAGGCCTGATCTAGTAAACCCTGGCATTCACAATATCTCAATTTCAGTTTGGAAAAGTAACTGTTCCCTGACCAAAAATACTGAAGTTAGACTTGGGTTTGGGTGAAATCTGTTAAGGTCATGGTTGGTTTTGATCATAGAGCTCAGTTCAAAAGCTGAACACTGACAATGATCTTTGCTTTCAAGTCTTACGTTTCAATGGGAGTGCTCATTTAACAGCAAGTTTAGTTGTACTTAACTTGAATTCTGGAACTTCCCTTTTATTTTTTCCTGAAATAACAGTGATTAAGTTAATGAAATGGCAATATGAATGAAAGGAAAACACACAAACCTTTGCAGGAGCAAACCCCAAAGACCCAGATTAAATTTTAACCAAGAATTATGTCTGCCAGAAACCTATATCTCAAAAGAGATACGTTTGGTTTTTGTAATAATAAAAAGTTATTTTGGAAAAGGGATCCCATTCTAACATACTGTATTTTCTAGGAGGAAGCATGGGGTTAGACTTCAGTACAGTTTAGTCTTTTAAAGAAAATAACAGGCAAACAGCTTAGCAGATGGATAACTCCATATCTGCAGAAATGTAAACAGCCAGGATTTTAGTGCCTATGGGTTTTATGAAAGATGTTAAGTACGGCTGAAACCAACACCAGTGTGTCCTCTTTGGCTAGTTTTAACACGTTCAGAGTCACAATTAACATTCAAGGAATTTCCTTTTCATCCAAGTGTTTCTTTTAAAAGCACTTTATGCTACAACCTAAAATTCTAGCTGCCATCAGTCCTCCTCATACAGAAGAGTGGTGAAATTCCCACAACACCCCTTTTTCTGCTTTTGCAAATAGGCTCGGACCACGTCAAGTTTCCCTGGGGTGTTTGTTTTCCAGTGTGAGGGGTTCTCACCTCCTCCCTCCCCCCTTTCCCTGAAAGAGCTTGGATTGGAGACACTGGTCCTGCACCCTCCTCCACACTCACCCCCAGCCACAGGAGGCCTCTACCAGGCAGGCCTCCGGAGCCCTTCCCAGCCCAGTCGGAGGCCTGCTGCCCCGCAGGAGCTCGGGGCCCACCCGCAGCCTGGTTTCACGTCCCCGACCAGGCGCCTGGCCGGATCTTGCTACAGGAAAGGGGAAAGCGTACGTGTCCCTCCTGACCCTGCTCCTCCTATACAAGGGACTCGCACACGGGCACTGAGTCTGAGTCCTGGCTGTGCATGGAGCTCAGCCCCGTGTCCGAGTCCTCGTCGTTGCCAGGACAGCTTTTGGCCAGTCCGCGGGCCTGGTCCACCCACACCTCAGCGCCGGGCTGAGGCCGGGATTCCCGCGAGGGTCCACCAGAGCCGGTAGTCCCATCAGGTGCTACCGTCAACTCCAACGTGTGCAAAGTCTGGAGGAGGCCCTGCAGCTCGCGCTCCTTGCTGTCCCACTGCTGCTGGCTGTAATCCAAGTCCGACTTGAGGGCCTCCAAGTCCGTGTTGAGCCGGAGCCCGATGTAGAGGCTGGTGCTGAGCTGCGTCCTGACTCGCTCCTGCTCCAGCAGCAGCTCGCCGTCCAGGCTGCCATCGGGCTCCGGGGACTCCTCCCGCGCCGCGAGCTCCTCCTGGCGCCGGCGCATCCACCTCTGGTTCAGCTCCTCCTGAATCTCGGCCGAGAGGCGCTCGAGCAACTCCTCCTGCTGGGCCCGCTGCTCCTGCAGCTTCAATAGGTCGTCGCAGCGCTGGGCCAGCTCCTCCAGCGCCACTGCCTGCACCTGGCCGTCCAGGGGCGCCGCCGCCATAGCCACCGCCTCCGGCTCGGGCTCCTCTCCCGGGCTGGGCCCGTCGAGCTCGATGCCTGCGTCCAGCAAGTAAGTGTCCTGCACATAGTTGACTCCGTGCCGCCGCATGCGGTCCAGGTGCACCTTGGCTTCGTAGCGATCGATTTCGCGGTCCAGCTCCCTGAGCCGCTGCACCTGCTGGCGGATGGTGTGGTCCTGGGAAAGCACCAGATGCACCAGCGTCTCCATACGCTCCACCGACACGCTGTTCGCGGCCCGCGGCGACGACGAGCAGGACGAGGCGGTGGACGACGAAGTGGACGAACAGGGCGACGCCGGCTGCTGCTGGCGCCGGCGGTTGAGCTTGGCCAGCTTGCGGAAAGCCTTGCGCACCACCCGCCGCTGCTTCTCCTGGGTCAGGGCCAGGCTGGGCCGCGCCGGGACGCCCCGGGCCGAGCAGGGGCGCTCGCGGCTGAGCACCACGCGCGCCTCGGCGCTGCGCGGACCCGCGTTGGGCAGCGACGCCTCGCTGCGCACCAGGACGAAGCGCACATTCTCCTGCTCGTCGCCCCAGGCGGCCCAGAGGCGCAAGATGCGCGTCTTGTTGGGCAGGATGCGCTCAAAGCCGCGCCACTTCTCCACGATGCAGTAGCACTGCGGCGGCCCGCAGAGCAAGCCTGGCGGCAGCGTCTCCTCGTCGTCCTCGTCGTCCTCGTCCAGGGGTTCCGGCAGCTCCCCCGGGCCTGGCGGGTCGCTGGCCGCCGCCCCCCGCCGCCGGCCCCGCCGCTGCTTCCGTCGCCGCCGCCAGCCGTCTTCCAGCAGCACTCGCACCACGTCTGAGCAAGTGGTGCGACGAGAGAGCCCGGACACCAACTTCTCCTCCTGGCAGATCCACACCGATATCTTCTTCTCCGAAGGGTCCATGGCACAACCTGGACGCAGGTGGCGGACAGCCCAGCCGCTCTGGGATAGGACAGGAGCCCGAGACCCCCGTCAGCACGGACCCTTCTCAGCTGTGCACCGGGGCAAGCGCGGGCGTGGGCTGGAGAGGCTGCAGCTGGGATCGGCCGGACGGCGCGTGCTCCCAGGGCAGTGAGCCCGGGATCGGGCTCCCGCCGCTTTGGCTCTGCCCAGGGTTGCTGGGGCCTCCCTCCAGGTTTTGCTCCTCCCCACGTGGCTCCTCCCCCTCCCGCCCTCAGTGCCCAGAGAGCCGCGATCCCGGGAGGCGCAGCGCCCAGACCCGCCCCTCTGCGGCGCGCTGTTCGCGTTAGGTTTGGTCCCCTCTGCACACACGCCGCTCATTTGCGCGGGGGCTCGAGAGAGGGTCCCCTCCGCTGCAGAGCCTGGAGCCCGTGCCTAGGCGGGATCAGCTCTGTGTCTTCCCACGGCCTACCGGCTCCTCTCCTAGTGTCTAGGGCTCGCCCGACAAATGTTGAGGTGACTTTCCCTGCCCTCCCAGACACGGCTTCTGGCCCCTCCTGGCAGCGCCATCTGAGGAATGCCCCTTGCGCAGACAGGGAAACCAAGGCAGGCAGTGCCTCTAGCAGAAACTCTGTAACCGCACTGGGTGACTTTCAGCTGAGAACTCTAAATGCTGCCTTAAGTAGTCGCATATTTAAGGAGAACAAGATGGACAGTGTAATTCATGGGAAGGACAGGGGTATGGTCTGAGAAATGCTTCACTGGGGCAATTTCGTGGTTGTAGGAACATCATAGAGTGCACTTACACCATCCTAGATTGCATGGCTTTCTACACACCTGGGCTGTACAGCCTATCGCTCCCAGGCTACAAACTTGTACAGCATGTTACTGTCCTAAATACTGTAGGTTATTGTAACAGTGGTGTTTGTGTATCTAAACATAGAAAGGTACAGTAAAAATAAGGCATAAAAGATACTTTTAAAATGATACACCTGTATAGGGCACTTACCATTAATGGAGCATGCAGGACTAAGTTGCTCTGGGTGAGTCGGTGAAAGGTGAGCAAATATGAAGGCCTAGGACATTATTGTTGTTGACAAAAGGTGGCTGGTCCCAAGCTATTCCAACAGCAGTCCCCAATCTGAGGTGCCCTAAAAGGAGAAACTTTATTCAGGTGAACAGTTCAAAACTGGTAAATGTACCCTCAAACGGAAACTGAAAATGCGCTCCCAAAGGCCACTAGGGAGGCCCGCTTATATAGAGAAAGTGCCTGACCTGGCTCCTGATTGGTCCATTTTTATGCAAACGAGGAATCCAAATGTGCTTAGTTTGATTGGTCCAAATAGCACTGTCCTGATTGGTCATAAACACCTATTCTGATTGGTCATTGTGGAGTTGCTCTGATTGGTCAGTAAAGATGCAAATGAGGCTATAGCTGTGTAGTTCTGATTGGACAGGGCAGGTCTCAGCCGATTGGTTGAAAGATGATTCCAGGAACACCTTTATAAGGGTGGGCTTACCGGACATGAACACAATGCAGAAGGCTTTCGGATCAGTCTGCAGCTTTTCTCTGAAATGAAGTATGTGTCAGAGGCCCTGGTCAGCCAAGGCTGCTAGACTCTGATTATGAATTTAAGCCCAATTAACCACCTGGAGTCCTTCTTGGCAGGTATACACTAAATTTATAAAACAACATGAGAGTACATCAAGCACAAGAGGAAATGATACAATCAAGAGACTTGGTAAACGTGAGATATATGATGCTGCTGTAAGTGTAACACAGCATACTGTTTTACGGAGGACATTTTTAAATAAGTAGAACGAGCAAACTACAAAATAATGATTAAAAGCATAGTCTAGTAAATATGTAAACCTGCCACACAGTTGTTTATTATCATTATCAAGTATTATGTACTGCACATCATTGTATGTGCTATATTTTTGACTTTTTTAAAAAAATCCTCATCTGAGGATATTTTCCCGTTATTTTTAGAGAGAGTGGGAAGGGAGGGGGGAGAGAGAAACAATATCTCCTGGTTGCCTCCAGCACAGGATCAAGCCTGAAACTGAAGTACGTCCTCTTGACCTGAATCACATCCAACCTCCCAGCAGAGCTTGTACACCCTCAAGATCTGACATCAGCTTTACTCTCAGCCTGTACACTCCAGCCACCCCTTTTTCACACTGTTCTCTTTGACCTAAGCTACTCCTCTCAGGCAGCCTAAGAAACATTCCTAAATCGCCCTACTCCACCCCCCCCCCCCCCCCCCGCAGTTGAATCCAATTGAAAGTCAAAGTGCAAATGGTTGCCTCCCAGACAGAAGCTTAGTATCCTTTCTCATCTACTATTCCTGATGCCTAACGGAGAGCACATAGATTCAGTGAGTGCCCTGAGCCAGAAAAATATACAAGCTTCATACAGGAGAAAATATACAAAAATGTATTTATAACTTGGGGGGGATGCACTCATAAACAGGACATAAACATGCAAAATTCATAAAAGAAAGAATCAATAAATATGTCCAGCTCAAAATGTAAACCTTCTTACTGAAAAAATACACAAGGATATCCTACACAATTTTTAAAAAGCTGAATAATAACCCACGAGGAAATATTTGCAGCATAAATACCAAAAGATTAGGATTTGGGATGTATAAAGAACTCCCAAAATTTAGTTTTAAAAAGTATCAGGCAACATTATGTAAAATGGGTGAAGAGTAGATAAAGCGGAAACAAATGGCCAAGAAATATGAAATAATGCTTCACTGGACCAGAAATCAGGAAAATATAAATTTAAGTGAAACAAGATGCCCTTTTTCTGCCAGGAGATTGGCAGCATTTAAAAAATATATAACATCATTGGCAAAGATGAGGGGATATATCCTCTCATACACCACTGGTGTAAATCAATGTATCTACTTTGGTAATGTCTATTAAAAATAAAAAATGTGCATACTCCACATCTCAGCAATTTCACTTTATAGTATCTACCTTAGGAAAACACCTGTGTGCTCAGAAAGCACGAATGGGGTGTGCACTAACCCATTTTTGTTTTAGCAAAACAATGGATACAATCAAAAAGTTCAACAATAAGTGGATGGCTGATAGACGGGGATACAGCCACAATCTGAAGTCTCAGCAGCACTTAAAGCCAGTAAATTATATATATATATATATATATATATATATATATATATATGCAATAATAAACCTCAAAGACGCATTGTTCAGTGCAAAAGGCAAGTTTCAGAGTGATGTGTATGATGGGATTCCCATCTCTCTTTAAAAACATATACACAAAGCATCCTATATAATAAAAGGCTAATATGCAAATTGACCAAACAGAGGAACAACCAGTCGCTATGACATGCACTGACCACCAGGGGGCAGACGCTCAATGCAGGAGCTGCCCCCCTGGTGGTCAGTGCACTTCCACAGCGGGAGTGCTGCTCAGCCAGAAGCCCTGAGCTGGGCTCATGACAGTGCTAAGGATGTCCAACTGACAGCTTAGACCCACTCCCTGCGGGGACCAGGCCTAAACCATCAGTTGGACATCCCCCAAGCACTCCAGACTGCGAGAGGGCGCAGGCGAGGCTGAGGGACCCCTCCAAGTGCATGAATTTTGTGCACCAGGCCTCTAGTATATTCATAAAGTCACACTGTATGTTTTCTAGAGGTACAGATATCAGTGTGCCTGCATAGAGCCAGGTATGGAAGAATATTCACCAAATCAAAAGCAGTGAATCCCTCCTGGAAGGATAAGGCATTTGCAGAGGGAGAGGCTCACAGAGGAAGTTAGCTTCATCTGCAATGATTTTACAAGACGGATTTAGGCACATATTACTTAATTATGCAATTATAGTGTATGATTTTCAAAAGGGAAAGGGTGTGGGTTGGGATCACTAAGTTCTGGTTCTCCTGTAGACCTCCCCTTCTGTGGACGCCGCCCCAGGATAAGTGGCATCTCTGTTCCCTGTCATCTGAGGGAATGTCTATAATCCACTTCTGTATTTCAAAGGGTTGTGAAGGTTAAATGCCCTACCAGCTGAGGAGGAGTCTGGTTGAGTACCTGGTTTAAAGAATGTGCTTCTCACTGGAGCTTTTCTTGCTTTTGCGGGTGAGCTTTTAAAAAGACAACCCAGTTCTCACAGTGGCAACAGAGACATTTGCTGTAAGTCTTCACTTTGGATTTCAAGAGTGGCATGTCATTTGACACTGTGGTTTTTTTCTTCATTTATCTTCCTAATGCCTATGAGAGGCAAGACCTAGTTCCCTTGCCCATGAGAAAACTGAGGCCAAGGGGAAGGGATTGGCTGTTTCCCAGCTTGCAAAGCTCTGTGGAGCTGCTGCTTGGTCTGGAATTTCTACCTGTCCAATCTGTCAGTCACGGTTCATGGCAGCGTGGAACACCCAAAACAGAAACTTCCGCCCTTAATTACACTGAGCCGTGCAGAAGTGTGACTGGGCCTCGCGATCTGAAGCAGTTCCTCATAATGATTAACCACAGAAAACAACCCAGCCAATTGTGTTTACAGAAACATTTGGTTGCTCTCAGATGCTTTGGGGAAAGCGTGGAAACTGCCACACTCATCCATATCATTCTTGACCAAACCGAGCTCCCAGCTGGGACAGAGATGCTGGGCTGTCATCCTTGAGACCTTACTTTTTTTTTTTTTTTTGAGACTTTGCTTCATATATATATATATATATATATATATATATATATATATATATTTGATTTTTTACAGAGAGAAAGGGAGAGGTATAGAGAGTTAGAAACATTGATGAGAGAGAAACATCAATTCAGCTGCCTCCCGCACACTCCCTACTGGGGATGTGCCCACAACCAAGGTACATGCCCTTGACTGGAATCAAACCTGGGACCCTTGAGTCTGCAGGCCGACGTTCTATCCACTGAGCCAAACCGGTTAGGGCGAGATCTTGCTTCTTCTTTTTTTTAAAAAAAATATGTTTTATTGATTTTTTACGAGAGGAAGGGAGAGGGATAGAGAGTCAGAAACATTGATGAGAGAGAAACATCCATCAGCTGCCTCCTGCACACTCCCCAATGAGTATGTGCCTGCAACAAAGGTACATGCCCTTGACCGGAATCGAACCTGGGACCCCTCAGTCCACAGACCAATGCTCTATCCACTGAGCAAAACTGGCCAGGGTGAGACCTTGCTTCTTAAAGTGAGGTCAGCAGGCCCCCTACCGGGAATTGCCTGTGGTGTTGTTGAAATGCAGATTCCTGGGCACCCGCTCTAAACCTTGTAAGTCAGAGTCCCTGGAATTTGCATTTAAAACAGTCTCCTCTGCCCTGGCTGGGTGGCTCAGCTGGTTGGAGCATTGTCCCATACACCAAAAGGTTGTGGTTTCAATTCCTGATCAGGGAACATGCCTAGGTTGCGGGATTGGTCCCAGGTTGGGGCATGTAGTGGAGGCAACCAATCAATGTTTCTCTCTTCCCCCACTTCCTTTCTCTAAAATCAATAAAAACATACCATCGGGTGAGGATTTAAAAAAAAAAGAAAAAGCAGTCTCCCCTGGGGATTCTTAGTTAGGCACACTTCAGTTTGACCCAAATGCACTAGGAGGAAAGAGCCAGAGACATCAATGCTGTTAGCAAGAATGCTCTTTCGCCCTGGTGGGTGGTAACGATATATAAATGACATACATACACAATAGGGTGGTGGCAACATATGACAGGTGAGAAAGAAATGCCCCTGGGAAGAGGGGGAAGGGAAGGGACAGGGCAGAGTAAGGGATAAGCTGTTCATTCTTTATCCTCTGAAATCTTGTTTTTGGTGGAAGCCTAGATTACAAGGTGATAACATAGAAATGTTTAGGTAAGAGAGTCTAAGGTAGCAGTGACTTCAGTCATCTGAAAGACACTCGAGAAGATATTTAGCATTCTTAGTCTTTTCCAACAAAACCAACCTAATTCCTGGTTCACAATCATCCTGGGAATGTGTAGCACTTACAGTCAGAGAGCAGTCTCTTGAGAAAAAAGCATCTTCTATTCAATGGTCTATGACATCACCATTGAAGACTATATCAAAAGGGGTTTTGTTTGATTAATTTTCATTATCTGTTGTTACCCAATTAATGAAAGGTGATACTATTAATGAGTGTGTGAACGAGACAGTGTCTTGGTTGCCACATCTGAAACATTCCCCAGCTTGTTCAGGGTAGAATGGCTCTGACCCAAAGTGTGGCCTTTCTTCTTTATAGAGAGACACAAACTCTTTCTCTCTAACTGTCCCAACACCAAATTACTGTGTCAGCTGCTCACCACCCAGGACACAATATGAGGCCTGTACTTGAGTTACTCCTATTTCATGTGAGCAAAATGCTAGCTTTCTTTTTTCAGTGAAGTCGATTGAGTTGGGAGAAGTTTCAATACCACGTTTCTTGGTTTGAAAGCATGACTGTCTTCGTAGCTGGCGAAACTGCAAAGACCTTGCCAACTCTCTTTGAGAAATATTGTCTAGTTGAAGTCAAATTTGATTACATGGAACCTTTGGTACAAGTATTAAAGCCATCTTCACGAGGAGATGTTCTTTTCCCCCCTGAGGAAGCAACGGAGACCTGTTTCCATTGTCATCGTGTCCTGTCCAGATTGGAGAGGAAGGCTGTGGGCCAGATAAGCAGAAATAGGTTACATCTGGGTAAGGCAGCGCCTCTCCCCGATGGCTGAAGAAGTTCCTCTTTGTCTCACTCCTGAAGCACAGCGTTGTTTTCTTAGGCCCAGGCTCTGAGCTAAACCTGGGTTACACTATGGATCCCTTACATTGATTTTGTGATTGGAGACCTCCACAAATGCAAACCTAGAACACAATCCAACCCTTAAGGGCTTAAATCTCCATGGATAGGAAAGAAGCCACTTGATCTTCCAAAAGTTTTGTCTGGTTGCTTTCTCTGTTATAGCTATTGTTAAACTAGAAAATGAAATCACCGAATTGTTCATCCCTGAGTATTTGCTTCTTTAAAATATATTTTAAAGAGTTTTACAAAACAAAACTGTACCATAAAAAATACTTCATCCATATGATTCAGCAATTCCACTTCTCAGTATGATATATACACCCCAAATTTGAAAGCAAGGTCTCAGAGAAATATTTGTACACTCATGTTTATGGCCGCATTCTTCACAATAGCCCCAAAGTGGAAGCCACCCAGTAGCCCATTGACAGA